CCAGAAGAAAATCAAAGATGCTGGAGCCTTCCAGCCTAACACCACAGGGCTTGTTCACCTGTGTTAGGAAGCCCAGGGTAAGGATCCCGATGGGGCTGTAAGTGTAAGACGGGGGGATTCTATCCTACGTGCTTGCTTTGGCTCCTGAAACTTGTATCCCAGCATATTCCTTTCCTCTCCCTGTAATAACATCCAGTCAATGAGCCGGTGACAAACAAAACGAGGCCAGGACTTCTTCCCTCCCCCAAACACACACTGCGGAAGGGCCCTTGGTACTGAGTGCCTTGGCCACAGACAGGCAGCTACTATAAAATAAGGGGTGCTGCTCTCTCCTGACAGTGGGTTTTCCCATCACCTGAAAAATCATTTACCGAGTGTCTGTAACCAAGGTGAAAAACACCCCCAAAGTTTAGATCTGCATCAGCATTTTCCCCAGGAACTACTCAGGTTACAGTGTTTATGAAGGGCAAACAGAAAAGAAGGAGTTGAAAAACTTAAGTATAAATTAATAGCCACAGAAAGCAGGGGCCTGGGACTATTAAACATCTTTATATCACAAACTTAGAAGCCAGTCAAGGAGACGTGGCAGAAAGTCCACAGGAGGCTGACCAAATGGTGCTAAGAAATTGCAATTTGTCAGATTATACATTTGAGACAAGCCCATAAGTATTCAAAGGATGATTTGACAAAAAGCCTCCGGGTTAGAACGTGGCCCTGAGCGTCCCGCAAACCCGCCGCGATGCCCTCCAAACCCGCCGCGATGCCCTCCAAACCCGCCGCGATGCCCTCCAACCCGCCGCGATGCGCCTGTAAGAGGCTCTCAGGCGCCTCAGCTGCTCTCCGCTCTTGTGACGCTGGCTGTAGGTGAGGAGCCCTTGGCTTCCTTTTTGGTACAACGATGAAAAGAGACTTTTCTCTCTAGGAGCTCCAAGTAAAAATAACGAGGATTTTTATGACCTTAGGATTTGGGGTAGAAAGCAAAAGATGGGGATGGTGGGCAAAGTAACTGATTTATGGAGTAAAAGCCATTCACATGCCAGGAAACCAAAATTTATTGCCAACCTCTACCACTTAGTGACTTTCCTGAGAGGGTTCTGATGAACTTAAGGGTGTTGGAAATAGTAAAATTTTCTACTAAGAGCCTCTTAGAATCACAGAATGTAAGAGCTACAAGTGATCTTACAAATTATTCGTTCCCAATCCTGAGTGTGTGATAAAATTTTCACCGGTCCATGGAAAATGGAGATATATTTGGATAATCTATCACATTTCTTTAAAAAACAAGATGAATTCAATGTAAAGGATTGTTTTTTAGTCTGAGATTGAATTTCCCCCACTTTTGTGGTATTAAAATATTCTTTCTTTTATGAAAAGATAGTGATTATAAATGGCAGTTTGGAATTTAAAAAAATAAATATAGTCTCTCTCTGTTTCTCATTATTAGCGCAATTAGTTTCTTAAAAATGTATTGAAATATAACGTACATACATCCCAATTAGTTCTAACAGTCCTATATATAGGATAGCTTTCTAACTTGGCAAAAGGAAAAGTCAGGCAACCCCAGAGAAGTCTCCTAAATTGTTTATTAAAGAAAATTTACTGGCCCATAAAATTGGATTGAGTTCAACATCCCTTCTCTTTGCAGAAAAGAAAGTGAGAGTGTAGAGAGGTTAAATGTTAAAGCATGATACATACACCAAAGGTCCCTGAGCTAGTTGACAGCAAAGCCAAGGCCAGAACCAGGGCTCTTGTCTCCCTGAGCCTGGAGCGCTTACATCCTACTCGACTTCCCAGGAGTTCCGTGCTGGTGGGGTATAGAATTTGACCCTAAAACCATGCACAGTGCAGCACTGAGATGAGCCCGATTATATGCAGTCTGTTCAACTGCATTATCTCATACAGTCATGGAAGTAATCTTTACACAGAATGAATTACGCATTTTTGGTGATTTTTGCCTAATCAAAACTCGAGAGGACAGCATAAGATTTTATACATATACACAAATAAATATGCACTTAGTTCATCACCTCTGCCTGTAAGGTGCTTAGTTCATTTTCTTCTTTATCAGTTGCAAAACAGCTGCCGCCACTATTTTTTCCTTGCAGTTCACAAGGTACAGTTCGAATGCATTTATTCTGCATCTAGGACAAGTTGGGCCAGCTCACTCATGCCCATCTATTGAGCCATGTCAATATCAAAAGATGACAAATGTCACCAAGACAAATAAAAGCCTCTAAACCCAGCCCTGGAGCCAGGAAAACATTCGACGTTGTGACGCCAAAATTTTAACCCATTTATCTTGATTTCACAGTCTTCTAATTAGTTTCATAGTCACTATATCTATGGGAGTTTCTAATGCCTACTGCTAACTGAAGTTGCTGTTTAATATGCAGGCTCACATTCTTACCTTTTCCCTCCTACCCGTTTTGATCTGGCAGCCATTAACACAATCCCATTGTTTTAAAGAGGCCAAAACAGAACAAAAGCCCTTACCTAAAGTATGGCAGGCGCCCAGTAAACTTAAAGCAATGTCTTGCTTAGTGCCCTGGACTTTTTTTTTTTTTTAATAATTTTAATTTCAAAAATAATATATTATTGTGTATCCTTCACCCACCTTCCTCTAATGTTAATATCTTACATGACATCTGCATTTGTCCTGCTCAAGGTACAACTCATCCAACCCTTCCCTTTTCTATCAAAAACCATGTGCTGTTCTATCAGTGCCCTGCATTTGTGAGGTAACGTTCAGGTAAACTGATCTCTGCTAAGGAGCTAACAAGTAACAGATTTACATTTTAGTAAAGAACTTCTGGAACCTAAGGCTTGGCTAGGATGACCAGGGGGCCCAATGTGTTGGGGACTGTCTCAGTTTATGCCTGTTGCCCTGGCTTAATTAGTAATAGTATCCCCTTTCCCTCTCAAAAGGGTCCTGGTTTGGCTGTTTAATTATATGGTCACCCAACTTTAACCAAAATAAATGACTAATCATGGTAATTATAAGCATTTTGGTAGGCCAACAGGGAAAATAAATTTAGGTAAGTGAAGTTTTGATGCTTCTCAAATTGCACCCCAGCTCTACATTCTTATAAAAAGTTAAAATTCACCAACCTGTAGGAATCAGGGTTTCATCCACAGGCAAAAAGGCATCAGCTTCTATAGTGACTTCATGGTCATATATGTTTGGGGTACCCTGGGGGGGGAAGAGATAGAGAAGAAAAGATTTAAAGCTTAGTCTTATTTCATACATTTGCTTTATAATTTCTCTCGCAGAAATGTTTTCAGGCATTGACAAAACGTTAGAAATCTCATGTGACCTGTGGTGATGGCTGATAATGTTCATTTAAGTGGGGTAGACAGGGCCTCAAATAGCAGCTGATAACGTTTGGAAGAAACTTTCGAGAGTGACCCCAGTATGCATGTTCTTTACTAAAGGAAATTGTAAAGGTGCAAAGTCAGGGAGATATCAGTGGTTTGAAAGCCTTTTGCATTTCAGCTTAGTAGCAGAGGGGTTTCTTCCACTCTCCTCACATGCCAGGCAAACAGAAGCGAGGGTCGGTGACCTGTAGCACACAGGGGCTGGACGGCCAAGGCCTCGCCTCCGGGCTCGCTAGAGGTGGGGCATTCACCTTTTCTGGCCCATTTTCCACCCAAATACTGCCTGCCACATGACAGAAGCCGGGGAGTCAGAACTGGGGTCCCTGCTTTTTAGAGTTTGTCTGTCTCCTCCATAAAGACGTACCCTGCTCTCCTGGGGGAGTCAAAGTCTCGTCAGTGGTCAGAGGCCTGGAGTCTAGTTTCAGCTCCCAATGAGTGGCCCCAGGGAAGTGACACAACCTCCTAGTATCTCATTTCCTTCAGGGTAAAACTGGGCTAATGAAGGCCCCAGCTTTTCCAGGGCTATTCTGAAGAACAGCTTAGTAAAGATGTGTTGTGCTGCTTGTAAATTAAAAGATACACACGTATGTTTCTAATTAAAAGGATTCTTTTGATTAGTAACAGTTTATTTTAAACCTTCATGGCAGAAGATATGAAAGGGAAACCAGGTGAGGGCTTTTGCCTAGTGAGTAATAAAAAATAAGCTAAACCAGTGGTTCTCAAATGGGGACCATTTTGCCCCATGGGGGAAAAGGTTTGACAATGTCTGGAGACATTTTTGATTGTCATGACTGGGGTGGCAATGTTAACAGCATCTAGTGGGAAGAGACCAGGGATTCTACTAAACACTCTGCAATGCACAGGGCAACCTCCCCACCCTGCAACAGGAATTATCTGGCCGAAATGTCAATAGTGCCAAGACTGAGAAACCCTGAGCTAAGCGACGCAGAAGGTTCTGCTGGGTTCGAGAAGTCAGTAGAGAGACAGAGCACTATGGCTAATGGAAAACAAGGTTCTGTGGTCAGAAAGCCTCAGGTTCGCATAATCAAATTGGAAAGAGGCCAGTTTTAGAGACCTTCAGGATCTAAATAGATCTTCAGGACAGAAATAGTTTTAATTACACTGCTACGACGGTGTGTTTCTGGGGAGCATCTCTTGTATTCTCCCAGCGGGTGCATGCTGGGCAGGGGTAGGGATGGGTGGCAGGTAAGGCTGGGCCAGGGGCTCTCCTCTGCTTGCACTGTCTTAGCCACTTGTTTGGTCCCTGCTCTGGCCTGGGAAGGCAGGTCCAAGACGGGAGGGGTCTGCCGAGGGCAGCTCTAGACTAGAGGGGTCATCTGGGTGGCTCTCCCTCCTGCCATCCTCTCATGCCTCAGGGGCACTGCCAGCCCTAGAGAGGCCTCTGGGACTGAGGGGTGTCTTTTCCCTGTTGAGGGAAGAGAATTTGAGACTGTTTCCTTGGCTCTACCTGTTCAGTGCTCAGGTCAGGGTTAAGGAGCGTTCCATCGTATGAATACATCGCGACTTGTTCACCCATTCTCCTGCCGACGGGCTTCTGGGTCATTCCAGTGTTTGACTATTATGAATAAAGCTGCTTAGGAATTTCCTCTTTTCTTTCTTTCTTTCTTTCTTTCTTTCTTTCTTTCTTTCTTTCTTTCTTTCTTTCTTTCTTTCTTTCTTTCTTTCTTTCTTTCTTTCTTTCTTTCTTT